TATATATATATATATGTATATACACACACACACACACACACACACACAAAACAACACAATTTGATTTGATTGGATAATGAAAAGTGGGCATTACTTACTGAATGTTGAAAAATAACCAAATCGATTGGTGAGTTCGTCTGGAAAAAGAAGGGGCGGAGCAAGTTGTTGTATTTTGAGGAAGAAATATGAAGACAAACATTGTATTTCTCTTTGAAACAACATGCATGGATGAATCATGCATATAAGGTCATGGGTTCGGTTCCCAGGAAATGCATGAACCGATCAAATTTAAACCTTGAATGCATTGTAAGTCGTTTTGAAAAACAGCATCTGCCAAATGCATGAATGCAAATGAATCAAACACAATAAAACTAAGAGCATGAATTATGAAAATAATGGGGCTGTCAAAATTAACGTGCTAATTGTTTAATTAAATCGGATGTGCATCAGATCCGCGTCCGGTTTTAAAGAGACAGCGCTGCTTTTAAAGTGAAACCTGCTGCAGTCTGTGTCATTGATAGAAATCAAAGAGAAAATGAAAAACAGAAATCACTCACTGCTCTGATGAGCTTTCGTAGCTTGAATAAAAATTAATCTATATTCAATTACAGTTTATGCATATACAATTTATAGTTTATGTGAAGATTGTTTCAGGTTCACTTAGATTAAAACTTGTTATATTTTTCAAAGCCTATTAAATGTTAAAATTAATGACTTGACTTGAACTTGAATAGCTACAATTGAGGGAAAATGCATTTAATAGAGTCATCAGTAGCAGTATTGGTATTATCTTCATTAATAATAGGCTATTTAGTAAAAAGATGCCTTTAAACACGTATTTAAAATATACCATCTGTATGTTGTTTCTACATTAATTTAGAGATGTAATGTGAAATTATGACAATATTAATATATTAGATTAATCGCGATTACAGAAAAATGTCCAATTAATTAGTTCATTTTTTATCGATTGACGGCACTGGAAAATAAACAGTGAATGTTGATGTTTAAATCTTCTGCTTTTCAGACGTTTCAGAAATGTCTCAGCTTTGCCAAATGAGTTCAAACATTTCTCATCAAATTCTCTAAATCTTGAAGCTCTGTATTCCAACCATGCATCAACAATTGTCTCATTGGCGTCTATTTTTATGTCTCCTCAGGAATCCACATCTGAGACAAAGTAGATAATGAAACATAACTGAGACCTTCGCTCCAAGCAATACGCCGTTCCTCTGGGAAGAAACAACCATCGCTATCAATACGGCACACAAACATGCCAATTAACATGAATTTTCCTAACTAATTTGGACATCAAAGACTCGATACTATCGCTGGGACAAAATAAAGCACTTAGGGTCAGCGGTGATGCAAAGTGTCTTTTTTCTCTTCAATGGCTCGGTATCGCATGCCTCCAGTAGCTTTCTTTTCTTACAGAGGAGCAATTAGAGATAATGCTTTATTTAAACTGTGCATATACGAAGCTTTTATCCTCTTGTTAATGTGGCGGCCCTAAAGAGGGGCGTTTGGACGGCTGGATGTCAGGTCAAGGCGAGGAGGGGTCGAATTAGAGCTTATCACAGTCATCTGCGTGTAGCGTGGGAGGGTTTGGCCCGATCCTGAACAGATAAAGAGGGAAGAAGGCCGTACGGAGCACATCAAACGGGACGCTGGCGACTAGCAGACCCAGAGGACTAGAGAAGCCCAGCCGTCCCACCCAGAATGAGTGTTTGTACTCGCATGACCCGGCGAGAGATGGCTTTGTCTGAAACAGAATGAGTTCAGGTGGAAGAGTGCTGCTGCTGTGAAGAGTAAATGATACTGACGGATCTGAGGCCATGACATGGTCAGGAAAGTTAGAATGACAAATCAAAATCCTGAGTTCAAACAGTTCTCAGGTTTTATTAAATATAACATCAGTAGAATCTTTACATTGCAAAGTTATAAAAGAAATACAAAAAAAATAGATTTTGTTTTAGTAAACTTAGCATTGTATACTACGAATATTGTTGGCTCTATGACAAATTGCTTGTTATATTCCTCATTTCAAAGTTGCTCTGAATTAAAGCATTTTATCCTTTTTTTTATTGTAACTATATATTTATATCATTTATATTTTATTTATTTAAATATTTATATATTTACTAAAAAAAGAGTACATGCATATATATATATATATATATATTCTTTACATGTATATTTTTCGTGTATATACTGTATATATATACACACACACACATATATACACAATATAGATGTAAAGTCATTAACAGAAATGTACCATATATATATATATATATATATATAAATGCACACACACTGAAATGTGAAAATATATATAAAACAGTAATATATCAAATCACTACATGTATCCAAATCATTGGCCACAAGTTTATATTTGTAATAAATAGTTAATAATAGTTAGTTGTGTGTGTGTGTGTGTGTGTGTGTGTGAGTGTGTGTGTGTGTGTGTGTGTGTGTGTGTGTGTGTGTGTGTGTGTGTGTGTGTGTGTATCAAATGTCATGTATATTCAAACTATTGGCCATTAGTTTATATTTGTAATAAATAGTTAATAGTAGTTGGTTATATACAGTACACACACACACACACACACACACACACATATACAGTATATATATATATATAGAAGTAAATTATTAACAGAAATATGTAATATTTATGTTTTTATATTTAATTGCTTTATTATGTTGAGAGTTGTTTATTTTTAAATTTAGGATTTTATTTTGGCATTTTAGCTTTCCTAATTATGTTATAATGTCATGGACACAGATCCGTCATTATTATATAGTCTTTAACATTTTATTTTTAACATTTAACATTTCATATGGACTTGAAATACGGACTATAGACAAAAGTCTACATTTGCTCTAATTAATCTCACAATTTAAGCATCTCATTTGTGATTTTTTTCAGGTCATCAAACATCAACATTTCCTCAGGATTTCTGTTGCTGCCACATGTGTGAATGTGTGTCTGGTGGGAAAGGTGGAAACATGACAAAGGCCAGTCTTTGTGGAGAAATCTCTGGTGAATTGTCCTTAAAGCTGAAGCGTTTGTCAGTACAGAATGAGATGCGGGTGTCAAACCCAATAACCAGCTCACTCCCCTCTTTGTTCAAAGCAGCGACCTCATCCTTTTTTTTGTTGTGTTTGTGGCCTTTATTTTTGGCTCTAAATACCCAGAAGCCAGAGCTTTTCTTTCAGGGAATAACTGTGGACATCCTTGCCCCCCCCTTTCACTTCATGAAGCCGCAGTCAATGTGTCATTGTGTTTGCTCAGAAGGACCTGACATACACTTTGGTGGTCTTGGTCACTGTCTACATTGGTGGCTGGAGTAGTCCATGGATTACGCTGTTGTGCGTTGTGAAAAGCTAAGAGAAGTCACTTATTTGAGCTCAGTGAAGCTGCTCAGTATAGAAATAAGAGACAGGCTTTTGAAACGGCCCTTTCCGAAAAATCACTCTCGCAGAGATCGCCTGATACATGCACACAAACACATGCAAACTTCACATGCATTTACAGAGAGTGTGCTAAGAATAAACTAAACATCTACGACTACTTATCAGCCTCAGCAAGGCATTTAATAATTGCTGTGATGTGTGCTGCCCCCTGTAGGTCATCCGTTCTGACATTTGTGCACAGAAAAGACAAATCACATCGGATCTCAACTAAACAGCAATGAAATTACAAAAGGCAGCAAATAGAGACTTTGGTTTCTAATAATATATTCAGAAAGGTTCTCGGAGCAACTCTAAAGTAATTATAAACAGCTTGATTTGGAAGGCAGTGCACAATATGGATTGTAAATGGAAATGGGATGTTTGTCAGGTTCATTTCCTTGAGAGAGTTACTGTATATCAGTCTTATACTCTTATTTTTTGACAATAATTCACTTATTTTCATGTCTTTCTACAGTACCGATCATAAGTTTGGAATAATTAAGATTTTTTAATGTTTTTGAAAGAAGTCTCTTCTGCTCACCAAGACTGCATTTATTTGATCAGCAGTAAAAAAATAAAAAGAGTAAAAAATACAGTAAAAACAGAATCAGAATGAGTTTTATTGCCAGGTATGTTTACACATACGAGGAATTTGTTTTCGAAGGAAGAAATATTATTACAATTTAAAATAGCTGTTTTCTGTGTGAATATATGTTAAAGGGTTAGTTCACCCAAAAATTTAAATTCTGTCATTAATTACTCACCCTCATGTCATTTCAAACCCGTAAGACCTTCGTTCATCTTCAGAACACAAATTAAGATATTTCTGACACAATCTGAGAGCTGTCTGATCCTGCATAGACAGCAAAGCAACTGAAATGTTCCCAAGTCCAGAAACGTAGCAAGGAGATCTGTAAAATAAGCCTTGAATGAAGGACTTACAGGTTTTGAATTTTCAGCATCATTACGCCAGTCTTCAGTGTCACATGATCCTTCAGAAATCATTCTAATATTTGCTGCTCAAGAAACATGTATGATTATTATCAATGTTGGAAACATATGCTGCTCAATATTTTTGTTGAAAATACAATATTACTGTATTTTTAAAAAACAAATGCAGCCTTGGTAAACATAAGAGACTTCTTTTCTCTAAAGTGAGTATGAAACAGTTCATCATGTGATGGTGGGCGGAGGCTTCTGATGGCGTCTCATAAAATTGTAATTTGCTTTAATTGAAATGTTATTAAAACAATAGTTCACCCTAGGATTGAAAATTAGTAGGACTTGGTGCAAAAAATTTACCAAAATACAAAAAATGCCCACAATTTTCATAAAAACAAAAAGTTTTATAAAATGATAAACTTTACATTTCAGACTTTACATTATTTTTAAGAAAATGGATGAGCCAAAAGTATCAATTATTATATTAATTTAAACAATTATCAATCAATTATTTTATTAATTAAATAACATATACAAAATTGTATTTATTTTGTGAAAACTTGTCTGTGAGGACCGAAATAAAATGATTGATTGATTGATTGATTGATAAATATTAATTAGATTATCCACTGACATTTTAACTTGATTTTATTTTCTTATTTCCAGGTCAACACTGAAAGCATCATGAAGGTGAGTAAATATTTAGAATTTCTGGAAGAACCAGGTTCAGAAATTA